CTGATACCACGCCCGATTCATGTAGAGCTATGTATTAATTTGATTAGTAGTAGCGTGGTACTTGTAGTAATTTTTACCTTTTTGATTAATGTATTTAATTAGACGCAATCAGAGTTATTGGCGTTGAGTTGAACAAATTATTTTTAGTTTTTCATTCATTTCAAAATTCAAAAAAAAAAATACATCCCATTGTTATCCTGTTATCGGACTAGGCTTAAAAGTTGCGGAATGAGTGACAGTTTTTAGAAAAATTTTTCAAGAGAATCGATAAGTACGTGTTTTTTTAGAAATCACCATTTTATATTAAAAATTTGAAAATTTTGTAGAAATACAGATTACAAATTTTTTGAATCTTATTTTTCGGAATTCGATTCAAATATGCCCTATTTCAACATATTTTCAATATGGTTTCAGATAAGATAGACCGTTCTTCAACCAAATTCCGAAGTACGGCGTTCTTTAGCCATTTTTTCAGATAGGTCGATCTTCCACTCAGCCGTCGATATTGCAAAAGTGTTTTGAAAATAAAAAAAAATAAAGAAAATGGTTCCAATCGATTAATTTTTGGCAAAGTTATAGGTATTTACAAAAAGGAAAGTTTTTTTTTTAAATCGATAGCTCTTAAACGGCTGGACAAAAAAGTTTAAAAATCAAGCAAGAAAAATTATGAAAAAAATCGGAGATGCAAAAGCCAAATGATTTCAGAATTGGGCTGGAATGCCCCATATACTACTTAGTACATCAGAATGAATGTGTCTATGTCATCCAATGGGTTACAATTAGTTACCCACAACTACAAACTAGGAAAAAGCGAAATAAGTACACGAGAAATTCAATGCAACCCAGCCACCGAAAAATCCTAGAAAGGAAAAGCAAGTGAATGAAATGCGAATTTTTGTCCATTTTCGGATACTTTGACGATCCCTTTTCGGGCTACGGTGTGCGGCAGAAACGTACCGAAAATTGATTTGCAATGGATAAGTTTTTGGCTGTTTTTCAGAAATTGTTGCTTTCAAAAAACATGTTCTTTTTTGAACGTTTCTCGGTTATGAAAATGAATGAAAATTGAAGTTGTTTTCTCTACGCTTCCAGGTACGGAAAATTGTACCAGACCGCACTGTCGGCAAAATTTACGTTTTTCTGCTGGCTGGGAGGCAACTGACATTTTTAACCCAACATTAGCTGACCACAACCAGCCTTTATTTCATTTTGTTCGGCTCGTTTCAGTAAATTGACCTTAAACGCCAGAGTTATGCTTAGGCGAACGACAAGTGTATGGATAAATTAAAATAAAAATGGGTTACGGCTTTGTATACCTAGAGTTGGTTGTGGATGCACGGGTGCTACTAAATGGAGGACGAAAGTAGAAAAAAGTACAAGTTGATTGGTTTCTCACTACGCTTGTATGTACTCTGCAAGGTATAATTATATACACACACATGCATAATATAAGCTGACTACATTGGTTATGTAAATACCAAAGATACATTCGTAAAGAATGTACACGAAAAAAACTGGTCACAGTTAAAACGTTCTAAAACATAAATATATTAATGGAATTCAACGATATTTACATATATTTACATCTAAACTTAGTTTATTGAAAATTCGTTAAAAAAGAGTTAATTCTCCTTGTAATAAGCAAACGATCGCAATTTTGACTTTATGTCCTTCATTAGCCCTTGCACAGAAGTTTCAAAGATTTCCTTGGAAACCAGCTGCCATTTATTTTTGAATTGTTGTGCGTTTTTTACAGCTTTGTGGGTCTTAAGAAGTTTGGATTTCATAACGGCCCAGTAGGTTTCGATCGGCCGATGCTCTGGACAATTAGGTGGATTCACCTCTTTTGCTACAAAATACACTTTGTTTCTATGTTACCATCCTAAAGCCATTTTTCCGTAATGACATATCGCGAGATCAGGCCAAAAAAGCACTGGATCTTTATGAAGCCGTATAAGAGGTAAAAGTCGCTTTTGCAGACACTCCTTAACATAAATTTCTTGGTTAATTGTACCAGTGCTTACAAAAGGATCACTTTTGAAGCCGCATTGGCAAATTGCCTGCCAAATGAGAAACTTTTTGGGAAATTTGTCAAACTTTTTGTTTTTATATTTATCTGCAACATTGCCTCTTTTATTTGCAGTGTGAAATTCGCGGCCCCGGATTTGTTTAAAATCGGCTTTTACGTACGATTCGTCATCCATAACAATACAGCCAAATTTTTGTATGAGACTGTCGTACAATTTCCGAGCACGTTGTTTCGCCAACAAATTTTGCTTACCGTTGCGATTAGGTGCTGCATTCACTTTGTAAGAACGTAGTCCTGCTGTTTTGCATACTTTTTGTATATACGAAGACGACATGTTTAATTTTTTGCCGACATCTCTTACCGAAAGTCCAGGATTTTTCTTAAAAGCAGATAACACTTCCTTTGCCTTAATTTCGCAAGCAAATCCTTTTTTTCTGCCACTACCAGGGTTCCTTTTTAATGATAAACATTCATTGTATTTTTTAAGCACATAAGTAACGGTAGACTTTGGAAATTTTAGCTTTTTTGCGATGTCGTTATGGAACATGCTGGGATTTTCCAGCTTTTTGCGCAATATTAACTCGCGATCGATTTCTTTCTTGGTCCTCGTTTCTACACTGATTTTTGTTACTAAAAAGAAATGATGCAGTAAGGTGGAAAATGCTTCCAGCTTTTTAAGTGTCTACCGATTTTTATTATAATGTTATGATGAACCGAGCTATGCTTGGTTATGTGCGACCAGTTTTTTCGTGTACATTCTTTAGTACATATCCATGCATACATATGTACATTGTGCATAATACGTGCATATGCATATGGAAGTAAATGAAAAACGTCGAACAGTCGGAAAATTTCACAAACGACTTCCAACCCTGCTTAAAAAAGAAACTATTCAACAATAAACAAATTTAGGAAAGTCATATTTTCAATACGAAGAAAATGGACGCCGAAAGACGTGATTGCGAAAAGCTTGAGATGCTGGCAGTGAGGGATGTGGGGCGATAGACCTTTCAACGACACCGTGTGAGGGACTGAAGCCCTTCATAACCAACTGATTGAACCTTATCAGCGTGGCTTCAGACCTGGAGAATCCACCACAAACCACACAACTTTTAGTGCTGTCCGAACTGGGATGGACTTCACCGAGTAGATCGAGACTCATCTGATCTTAGAAAGCATAATATGAGCTGTCAATATGAATCGTAGCGCTGTCATATACATATAGCAATATAATAAAGCTTCTGGCTTATGCGAATGATATTTACTACATCGGACTCAACAACAGAGCCATGAGCGCAATATTTTCCAGCTAAGAAAAAGAGGCAAACGAGGCGGATCTAGCGGTAAACGGGAATGGTGAGATGCACCTAGGGTACAGTTTTGAAAGCACCAATAATGTTAGCCTGCAAATAAAGCGAAGAGTTATTCTTGCGAGCAGGTCTTACTTTGGAATGGGTAGGCAATTGAAAAGCAGAGCCTTTTCTCGATGGATTCTCTTGTCATGTCATGGAACGATTATGCTCTGGTGAAAATATGTCTGTAAAGTTGGCATATGAAATGACGCAAAATGGCAAAAAAAAATATGGAAAATAAAAGAAAAAAAGTTCTTTAAAAAGTTTTAACTTTCAAAAAAGTTAAAAGGTTTAATATTTCAAAAAAATACTTAAATATGTGCTTTGCAATAAAAGAACTATTCCTCAAAAGGAAAAAAAGTTCTACCAAATTAAGCCGAAAAAACATGTTTTTTTCAAAAAGGTTGAAAAAGTTTAATGTTTGAAAAAAAATAAATAAATAAAAATTAAAACTGTTTTCAGAAGTATTTGAATAGTTCTAGAGGTCCTGAAAAGGAAAAAAGAGTTCTGTAAAATTACGCCGAAAAAATGTTTTCCCAAAAAATCAAAAAGTAAACAATTTAAACTGTTCTGAGTAACTTTTCAATAGTTCTAGAGTTCCTGAAAAGGAAAAAGAGCTCTGCTAAATTTCATCGAAAAAAAGGTTTAACCAAAGAAGTTGAAAAAATCTAATGTGTACATAAATAAATATTAAAACTCAGTTGCTTTCAACAGGCATAGAGTTCCTGAAAAGCAAACAAAGGTACGAAAAATGCGATAAAATGGTTATAAATAATAATAAACAGAAGACATTTTATAGCTGGTACCGAACTCGGTACATTCTGTTTGGTAGAAAGCACCTCTGCTATCTCGCTTCACGCAAAATAATATTTTTTTTAAAGAATTTTACAACACTTTTAAACTAAATAGTGTAATAAAAAAAAAATATTGTAATCGAATATAAAAGACCTAATAACACCGTGGGTCAAAATCAGAAATATTATATAAAAATATTAATAATATTATATAAATATAAATAAACTCACAAAACTATAGTAAAATAGGCCAAATATAGTAAAACCGCGTTTCAAGTTTTTCTTCTTTTTTTGAAGGACTTTGAAAGATTAATTAAAAATAAATTATTTAAAATATTCAGTGCAATGTAGAATACCAATATTGCTACCAAAGGAAAGAGAAAAATTCAGCAAAATTGAAATAAATTGAATTTTTTCACAAGCTCGAATAGGTATTTAAAATGTCCTTTCAATTAATTTTATTTTTTTTTTAAGCTAGTAAAGTTGTAATGACGAAATTCGCGGAAGTGGTTGAGTGTATATTAAGACATTTTCAATAGCTAATCGTCCTTATGCACCAACAAATTTTCTCTTTTATTTGACACTCATACTGTTTTTCTTATCAGTTATCATATATGTATCTCCAAATTCAAAGTCTTTGTAAATAAAAATCCTGATGTCAGAGAGGAAGACTGAAAACGCAGTTTTACTCTATTTGACCCATGGTTTCGCGAAAGAATCAATATATCTTTTGTGTGAAAAATTTACTGTCGCACGTTGTTATAATTTTCAAATATTTTGCTTAATTTTTTTAACATTCTTAACTCTAAATATACAAATGCTTACTTGTTCGTTGAGATTATCGCAGATTTCGGCACTCAAACCATTCATTTTGTTGTTGCAACAGTGATGTGCCTGCATATCAGCAGCGTCCAGCGCGCCACCGTTATTCACGCTACCAACAACCGCACTCCCATTCACCATCGACGTTTTGTCTTCGAAATCACAGAGTAATTTATTTTTGAAATTTTTCAAATTCTCCAACTTAAAACCGTTTGTATTTGTATTATTTGTTTTATTCGAATTAAATTTACTTGTCAGAGTTTCTAAATTCACCAATTTATTATTATTGTTATTATTATTATTATTGTTGTTGTTGTTGTTATTATTACTACCAATTTGTTCACTTTCACAATTATCGTCACTCAATTTATTCTCAATGAATACCAATGAATTTGGTTCCGATGGCACAATATCTTCAAAATCAGCTGGATTCAAACTCAAGAATTGCTCTTGATCTATCAGTATCGGTTGTTTACCAAAATTATATTGATACTGATTACAACCCAAGGTATAGGCGCCACTATTCAAGGTCGACTGTGTGGCTGTTGTATCGAAGTTGAGGTTCAAATCTTCTAAACTCTCGTTGGAGCGTTTATGATTGGCTTGTTTGTCGCTGCCGAAACATGCGCTGTTGTTGTTGTTGGTGTTGTTGAGCGTTATCGTGCTGCTGGTGGTGCTATTGCTGTTGCTGCTGCAGCTGTTCGTTGCGGGTCCGACAAATTCGAATTGGCCAGCCCACATGTCATAGGCTAAGTCGATGCTGTCGGGCTGGCTGGCCGGTTGGCTACTCATTATGAAGTGGCAGAATAAAAGTATGTAGTTGTTTTTTTTATATTTTTTATATTTAGTAGCTAGTTTTGTGAGTAACACTGCTGCCCGTACTGTAGGTGTGCGATGAGTAGTGTAGGCTTGTTGAGTATTTGGAGTTTGTGGGTGTGGCACTTTATACGGTGTTGAATAATACAATTAACGCTAAAAACTAGTTTTTTTTAATATCTTTCCGCTATTTTGTTTGCGGCGATAATCTTTTTTGACTTTTCTTCTGCAAAAAGTTTTTAAGGCACTTTCTCACTGCTCGCTCTCTTAATAGCATCATTTATTGATACTGTTTTCTTGATAACTTGAGTTGTGTCATTTAGGCATTGCTGTAATAAATAAAACACTACTTTTATATTTTTAAGCTGAGGAAAGGTACTTGCGGTTTTGTAGCACAACCTTTACATATTTGTAATGTTGTTAATCCCATAATTGAGAACTTAGTCGGATTTGTATTCTCATCATCAGGCAATGAAAGGTAATGTTTAGGAAATATTTTGTATTTAATTTAGAAACGATTTATTAAAATTTATTAAGCGCAAATGGTTTTCTTTTATTTAACAGGTTTTGGTGCTAATGACAAGAACATAAATGGTTGGTGGTGGGTGATTTTATTTTTTTTAATTATATATGGAAATTGACAGAAAAAAAATTATTTTCCATTTAAATTGCTGGTGAAACCGGCTGTTACGGTAGTAATTTGTATTTAAATCTGCACAAGTTAGATACATATGTATATATTTTCGTAAAAAGCACATCAATACCTTTCGAACGGTACGTCGATTAGATGGTGTATTCAAAAGATAATGACAAATATGTATCTATGAAAAGTACCAAAAAACACTTTTTTCGAAAAAACTCCGAAAACGCTTCTTTGAAAAAAAATCGTATTGTTTTCATGTTCAGCGACCCAAACCTAGCCTTTTTTAAAGAGGTTATTAGGAATTAGAGGTTGCTTAAGAATCGACAAATAATATTCACAAATTCAAACTTTTCACCCACTAATGTGAAATTAAATTGATTCAGTTTATCGCAAAATATAGGAAAAATATATAACATTCCCATTCACTTAAATTCACTTCGCTCCAATGCACCCAATTTGCTACATTTTTTTATTAAATTTTAGTTCAAATATTTCCCCTTAATTTCGCTAACCGTGCATTTCTCACAACTGACACACATTCCTCATTTTTGTACGAATTTCCGAAACAAATCGATGGCAATCACCGATTTTCTTTTCACTTTGACATCGCCATGTCACTTATGTCATGCCGCAATAATCAATGATGTAATTTTCGTCGCTGCTGTCAATGCGCGCCGCTTCTCTAGCCACACAATAGCAGCGAACGTTACGGGTCTATGACTTGACAGATTATGACAATAAGTGAAAGAAAAGCAACTACAAAAAAATGGAGTAGAGAAAAATCTCAAAGATAGCAACGAAAATGAAGTAGGCTGGAAGAAGCTTTATGCTGCAAACAAATAGCTTATGTACGTCAAGATAAATCCAAAAAAAAAAATAACAAAAGATTGCAAAAATAAAAGCAAACAAGAAAAATAAAACAATAAAATACAAATCCAACCCAAGCTGGTACAACGAAATTGTAAATTATTTCCCGCTTGAGACAGACGTCGTCGCACACACCAAATACTACTTAATACCACAAAGCAATTCAACAATTACGCCGCCAACTTACTGCATTAAGTCGCTTGCATACAGTGGGCATACAGTATGCCAAATTTATGTCAATTCATGTCTTGTGCGTCCACTCATTTGTCAATGAAGTTGTCGCGCTGGCGTTGAACGGCATTCAGCGAATGCGCAGGCGCGTGGGTGGCTGACTGGCTGCTAAGAAGTAAATGCAGTTACTCGTAGTTTAAACAAATTATACATTTGTTACTGTTTATGTGTGGCAAACATGTGTATATTGAGCTGTATAGGTAGCTACTTAAGTAGTGTACAAATAAATACCTACAACTATCTACGCCCGAATGACTTAGAAAGGTGAAGGAAGTTGCTTGGCATTACATATTTGTCACCCTAATGCTTAATTAAAATTTCTGCTTGGTTGCCTTGAAAGTCTGCCCACAAGTGGAATTATTGCGTATGTTGATAAATCTCATAATTAAATTCAGTTTTCTTCATACAACATTTTTAATCTTATTCTGTTTGAAAATACCACAAATTAATCTGCATTCAAGAGTCGAGGTAATAAATGAGCTGCAATAATTTAATAGGTTTCGGTTAGAAGGCGGAAGAGAACAGCGAATTAAGAAATTGGTTACAAGCTGTCACAAGCTTCAGATTTCGAAAAAATTTAAATCGGTGAGTTGAGAAGCTAGTTTGCTGATTTCTTATGCCTCTCAGATTTGTATTAGTAACCGATTATATACGGATAACTGTTTATAGTTTATATAAAATTTTTAAACAACTAACATTTTTCTTCATTTTTAAATTACTAAACATTTATGTTTACTTTTTTCGGTTTAAAGATTACCAAAAAATTATATCCAGTATTTAAATTTCCAAAAATGTGTGCTCAATTTATTAAGTCGCCAACAATTTTAGCCAAATTCTTAGCCATCTTTTTGAATGACCTAAATTTATGTCCAGCTTTTATATTACCAAAAATGTATGCCCATTTCTTGAATCGCCAACAATTAAAAAAAATACATAAAAATTGATTAAAAAACACGTGTTTGAATTTTTTAAATTTATTTCCAATTTTTAGATTCCAAAAAATGTATGACAACTTTTTATGTGCCCAAAAATATGTACCCAACTTTTAAAGTAAGCCAAAATCATTTCCATTATTATTATGACACTCTTGCAGCAAATCTGCAATAACTATTTAACATTTTTAAATTATTTTAAAACCTTAAAAAATTTATGTATGATTTTTGAATGACCAAAAATTTATGGTCACTTTTAAAAATGCAAAAAAAAAAACAATTAAAATGAAGTGCAAAATAATTATATCTTGCTTTTATTATACCAATTTCTTTTTTCTAACGATCAAAAAACACTCGAAATGATTAGCCATTTCTAAAGTGCCAAAAATTTGTTTTCAATTCTGAATTAACAAAACTTTAAGATCAATTTTTGAAAGAAAAAAATAATAATCTGCGGTTTAAAGACCGAAAATGTATAAAAAAATTTAATGATCATTAGGGTCTTATTGAAATTTAGCTAATATTAATATTAAAAAATGTATGTCCAGTTTTTAGCTAGCAAAAATTAATGTCTAGCTTTTATTTTTCGGCGTCAATCGACTTTTTTGTAGATTATTTGCTATTTTGATACTACTAATAAACGTAAATGTGAGTATAATCACAAAATTATGTTCGTTATTTCATTCATGTTTATGCAATAAATTTACACTCAATAAAAGTGGTATTGCTCTAGTTTCCAAAAGTAGTTTTAATTAGTGCACTATTGATATGTAATTTTCAAGCAAACTTATTGTATGGCAAAATAGGCGAACAAAAAAATTGCACATATCGCACACCATCTTCAAAAGTGTCACAACTCAAAATTACATGTTTGTCAGAAAATTGGAAAAACTGTTTCATAGCATATGATAATCACATGGGCAAGGGAGACTTTGCCTTCGTTTTTTTTTAACAAATTATAACACAAATTTGCTCTAGCTTTTGCTGAAACGCAAACGAAATCGCTGTGTACACTTTTAGTGCATGATTTCAAAAATGCCAAATTTTGAGTTGTGCCTCTTTTGTATGTATATGATACCTCATGATTAATTGAATCCACATGTACATACATACATTCACGATTTTCTACACATGTCAATGAATGAGAAAATCTGAGCTATTACGCTCTTTTCAACTTTAAGTATGGGAACATTAGAAGTTGCGGAGAAGTAATTGCAAGAAAATAACAGCTTTCAAACACAAAGTAATTTCAATCAAATTGGAAAACGTTTTTAAGTACAGCAAAAACAAAAATTAAATTTAAATTCTTTTATGGTGGAACTAAAAAGTTCATCATACCAAATGGTTTGCTACATTTTGTGCATACTTCAAAGGATTTAATGTTCCTCATACGCCATGTCACTTTAGTAGAACTTGATACGGGAATGTGTAGGTAGGTAAAAAGTTCATCATACGCCCTGACAATACAATATCCATTTCGAATTTCTGATAAATAATCAAGCACTTATTTAGTGCTTGTCCTGAAATTGATTCGCCATAGAGTGTCCTTATAAAAAATCGAGAGAGACTGGATTGGAAGATATTAAGCTGCCAGCGTATACTTGGCCCAAACTAACTCATAACGACTAAATACTTTTTTTACTTGGTAAAAATTTAAGCATGAAAAGTACTTCAAGCCTATAGGCGGTCATTGATGGGCATTTCAGCATAGGAAGATATTTATTTTAAGTAGATAAAACTCTGCATAGATGCGGAGAAATAGTAAGTAGTCTTTTCAAACACGTATTGCGCTGCTTTTCATTTGCAGAACTCTTAGCGTTTTCTTTATATGATTTAGTTGATGCATCTCACTGATTATAACCCCAAAAAACTGCATCTTCAGATTTACTTCCAAAACATTTCTTAATTCAAGATTTCATTTTATTTACTCGCAACGCAACTATTTGAAAGGGAAAGACTAGTTGTTTAAAAATGCTATTAAAAACAATATTTATTTTAAATGATTGCCAATCAATTTTCCATTTAAGTAGATGACCATAATGGCCGCACATTCCAAAATAGCACTTGGGTAGTGGAAAAATGCAGCATTGCGTAAATTAGTTGCAATTGACTGACTGACTGACTGATTACTGCTATCAAAAGCAACAAGTGTAAAATGAGTAATGACTTTCAATTTCGAAAGAAAAGTGCAATGGATGAAAAACTAAAGAAAATATGTAGCGTGTGGAATGCGAAAATGTGTACATATGTACATTAGGGTGGTCCAAAAATACATGTGGGCGGGGGAAAAAGTAGAGTTCGAATTTTAATGCTCTCACCCTCTAGATTGTTCAATATCGAAAATATACACCTTTTTAATTTATTTCGAAATCAAGGGAAAAAGTAGAGTTCGAATTTTAAAGCTCTCACCCCTAAAATTTTCAATATCAAAAATATACCCCTTTTTAATTTATTTCGAAATCAAAAAGTATTTAGAGGTGGAGAAAAAAAAATTTCGTATAAATGGTATGGAATTCTTGAAAATCAATATATTTCTTTCAGAAAACTCTTTCTCTCTTCAGCAGACTTCCAATAATAATACCCAATTGTTGATTTAACAATTTTTGACGTAGAATACGTCTTACCTTAAGGTATGGGGGCTATGTTCAAATGTTGT